GAGGGAGAGGGAGAGGGGTTGAACTGAGGTGTGAACTAAAAATATATATAAACATTTATATTTAGCCACTCACTGTCCACCTTTTCTCCAACTGTGTGTGTGTGTGTGTGTGTGTGTGTGTGTGTGTGTGTGTGTGTGTGTGTGTGTGTGTGTGTGTGTGAGGGAGAGCGAGAGAGGGTGTTTGTCATTGATGAATAGCTGTTTAAGGACCTACACTTTACAGATAAGCAGGGGAAATTATCAGGGCACCAACAACAAAGCTACTATGTGGGTTAAAATAAATAGCACAGGAGCCTTCCAGAGAAACATTTACAACATCCAGATGCAATATTCAACCAGACAGAGGCACAAGATGACAAGAAAACTTATATTTAAGCTGTTCTCAGCAGTTTCTGATTTGCTTTGCATTGTCTATAAAACGGTACTGTATGTATGAAAACAAAAAGAAACAATTTGTTTAAGACAATCCTTTCAAGCTCTTCTCAGTATGTTTAAATATTGAAATATATTCTCAATAAATAATCCAAATGTACCATTTATTTGGGCACAAAATGAATGTTGTATCGTTAACCGCCCAATTTTGCTTCTCTAACATATTAGCATGTAGCCAGGTGGAAATATGTCAGGTTGACATTGTATGTGCTGTCGGGTCAGTTTTCCACAACCAGAATAACATGATCAATACAAGTGTTTACGAGCACGCTCTCACATTCAGATTACACATTTTTTCCTACTGAGCTGAATCAGATCAGAATATTCCAATTGGGGCATATTTTTATTCTGATTGACTGTTTATTTCCATTACAAATGTCTATGTAAGCATAGTTATGGTGAGCCACTTACTGAATGTCATGAACTTGCAAAGTACATTTTAACATCTTGAATATTGTAAACACTGACTAAATGCTCTGGCTGTCATGATAAGCAGAGGACAAACTAACTGAAGTCTCCATAAACACTTAAAACTGGGGCTCAAACTCTCAATAATCCAGCGGTAAGGTGGAGCCACAGTATGTCCACAAAACATAACCAAATATAGGGAAAGAACTAAACTTGGCTAAAAAAAATTCCTAAACTTTTTTTTATTTATATGTTTTTACAATTTATGCTATTTTATTAACTATACTGCCAAAAGTATTCCCTAACATGCCTTGACTCACATATGAGCTTAAGTGACATCCCATTCCTAATCCATAGGGTTCAATACGATGTTGGCCCTCCCTTTGCAACTAGAACAGCTTCAACTCTTCTGGGAAYGCTGTCCACAAGGTTTAAAACTGTGTTTATGGGGATTTTTGACCATTTTTCCAGAAGTGCRTTTGTCACATACTGATGTTGGACAGAAGGCCTGGCTCTCAGTCTCCGCTCTAATTCATCCTAAATGTGTTCTATCAGGTTGAGGTCAGGACTCTGTGCAGYCCAGTCAAGTTCATCCACACCAGTCTCTGCCATCCATGCCTTTATGGACCATTTGGATGGGTGAGCAAATAATTTTGGCAATAAAGTGTATTTCAGCACATGATCAAAGTTTTGACAGAGAAGGAACAGACAGAAATAAAGCAAGACCGACCACATAAAAACAAAAAACACGGATCTACCAACAGTCTTTTTTATAACCTTCATTTTGAAAAATGTTTTTAAAATTCTAAGTTTCTCTCAACAAAATCTGTTAGTGTGTGGATGAGAGGTGCAAACATTTTTTAAACAGCTGGAGGAGTGTGGAGAGGTTGTAATTTAAAACTTTAACAACTTTTAAATGAATTTTTACTTTAAATGTAAAAAAACAAAATAAAATAAACACACTGAATTCTATATTCAATTCAAATTCAATTCTACATTGACAGTAACAGCTCTCTTTTTATGTTTTTACAGTCACTGATCTATTATAAATAAGGCTGGAAATCATTTGATCCCTGTTCAGAATCCTCTGCTGCTATACAAAATATCACATAAACTCGGAGCCTCCTCTCAATATGAGGCACAGACGAATTTGCGCCTTCGAGCTCAGATGAGGAATTTGACGGATGAAGGAGCACGTCTCTCCTTCTTAAGGAGCTTTGTTTTATTTCATTAGGGATAAGATTCATCACTGTAAGTAAACAAGAGAGCGGCGCAAATCGTATTGGAGGACTCCCTGCACAGTCCTCAGCGCTGTCTCTTGCACGCATGTGAAAGCACACAGTTGTTACACAAAAGACTCAAATCAAACAACAGCTGAGAAAGCTAAATGTGAAGACAAAGGGCTGCATAAAGGATGGTGATTCTATGTGATTGCTCATTATTGTGCACTTGAAAATGACACATCACTGGTAGGCTAAGAGTGTCAGCCTGGAGTTAAACAGGCAGGATTTTGATTTTTTTTTTTGTCCTATTCGAACAATAAAGCTTGTTCTGGTTCTACAGAGGCCTGGATARCGACAAGGCAGAACATGTGGGTCATGACTCTGTTCTTCTGGTCAGAGGTCCAGTGTGCTGTCTGAGTGAAAGAACACTCGGGGGTCCATTTTGGACAAGTTCCAGCTCTGACCTTGGAAAAAACGGCTCTGATAAGGCCTGTATGTGGACCAATTTAACAGGTCACGACCCTGTCTCGGAGCGGGAAAGACACAGTGGGAGCGTGTGATCGCTGTCAGGGGGTTCTGTCCCATGATGAGATGTTGGCGATATCTAACTGTAGCTCTGACCCTGCAGCAGAAGCCTGTCAGCCTATTGATTCACAGCTCGAACAGTTGGYGGAGACAGGAACAGAGTCGGATTGTGTAGACTCAACTGGCACAGTGTGCAGTGTGTACGTGAACACGACTAGTAMGGTATTATGCACAACAATGTAGGAGCAAGGGAGGGAAAGGAGCCGGGGCTTTCATGCACACTGCAGCCAACAGCTGCATATGGGAAACAAACACTTCTATTCATGACAGATGTGCACAAATGCAGACACACACACATGCCTGGCACATACTGGACAGTGGCCCTGTTGTAGCTCAGCCGATAAGAAGGATGCCGTGCAAGCGCCGCGTGTTACAGCGTGGGAGAGCCAAAGGGAGACGTTGCAACGCGCTACGAGACAGCCCTGTGCGTCTCCGGCTGTATGAAACACAATGACCGTGCCTGTCTGCTGCAGGCAGRGTGCTGGCTCGGGTTGAGACGGACGACCATGCGTGGGCTGGACCTGGAGGTGTGTGTAAGAAATATGGCGGGGATAAATAGTTGGGACTTCAATGAAAGCTTTGACTTTGATGCAAACAAAACATAAAAGAGATATGAAGACAAACGGCGATACAAAGAGAAGTGAGAGGGAACAGAGCTGTGTGTTTCAAAAGCAACAATGCTCTGGATTTAAAGTAAACTCTTTTTAAAATTAGCACAAAAAAAACGTCATGACATCTAACAGCTTTAGTGAACATTAAATTTCTTTCCTTTGTGTAAACTTTCAGGCACAACTTTAGCCAAACTTTGCTGTATTAGATAAGATATAAACGGCTGACTGGGAAACACTGTCTTTGTTTAGCAGATTGGGTTTTGTGCTTTGGCAGCTGGATGAACCCCTTTCTGGCCCAGACTGGTCTCTCTGGGACAGGTCAATATTGGGGATGCCTGCCAGGTGAGAGGTTGGCTCAGGTTTAATCAATGCAAGCCGAAGGAGGACAGACAAGTGTGCAGGCAGGTAGACAGGCTGGCACTGTTTCCACCAGCCAGAGGAAAAAAAGAAAAAAAGAAAAAAGAAAAAGTATTCCTGGTGGAGTTCGCCGGCCAAATCCAGAGCTTCCGCTGCTGCGGTGGAGAAACTCACGCTTCAACACGGTTTAGGGGATTGATTTGACAGCTAATTTACAGAGAAGATTTGCATAAGGCCATGCTCTAATAAGGCAGGCTTTCCTTCTCTGTCCTTTGTCTTTGTGTGTTATCTCTCTTTCTTTTTTTAGACCACGAGCAAATAGTAACAGATAATGTAAGCAAATTAAAAGGACAAGAGATTCAAATTGAATATTGATTAAGAGACTTAAACCTTGTGCCTTTTTTTCCTGTTAAAGCTTGTGTTTAAGTGATTGATTCACAATGTGGCTCCACACGCCATTGCCTGTTTGGTGCTGGGAGATGGCTGTGCCTTTATGCCTTCAATAGTCCCACATCATGTCACACCACGCTAAGTGCTTTGACACAGCCACACAAAGAGCCCTGCATATCTCATGCCAATCTCCCAAGGTCCTGGTGTCACCCAGGTGGAGGCTTTCAGAGAGAGCAAGGACAAAGTCTCCTCCACAGCTTCACATAAAGCAGGCTGACTGACAGCGGAAAAGACAAAATAAAAGTTCTCTGTCATGTGGGTGATTAGGTGAAGGAGGAAGAGAACAAAGCCGTTTGCCTCGACTCTAAAGGAAACATCGAGCAGCTCACAGTCAAATGAAGGAGAGAAGTAACCTGTGAACAATATTTTGTAGCAGGTTTGTATCAGGAATACTCATTAGATCTTCTTTTCATTGGCAATTTTTGCACAAAAATGGAACGCCTCCACAAAAAATACAGATATGTAAAACAATACCTGTCTGTGATTGAAAAAGCAACACTTTCCCCTACTCAAACTTACTGTTTTTGTTCTTGAAGATGTTAAAAACAGGCAGGATCTGTCTGAAGTAAGGCACCAGAGCCTCCCCCACCCCGTCTGCAGACAGCACCAGATGCTGCAGGACTTTTAGGGTTGTGCACATCACCTGATGGTTCCTTGTGTTCATGGCATCTGGAAGACAAGATGAAAGGCAAAGGTCAGAAATAAAGGCTCAGGTAAAACGAGATTGAACAGATGATCAAAGACAGGAAGGCAGAGAGGAAAAGGTTGTGCGTTAGAGTAAACGCATGGTAGTTTTTATGTGTGTGTGTGTGTGCCTGCTCACACACACAAAAGATACACGGCAAATTTACCTCCTCTTTTCCTTAAAAGCATTTTCTTTACAGTCGGGATTTGATTTAGACAAMGTTCCCTGCAATCAGTGATTTCAAAAGCACCGGGGAGGCAGGAGTAAGTGAAAGCCAATCACTGGGCTATTTGGCCTACAGGCTGTACTTCATCTCCAACTGATAGAGAGAACAAAAGAAAATAATGGCGGCAAAGATGGAGGGTTAGAGAGATCGAGAGAGACAAATGGTACATAGAAAAGAGAAACCGATAAAATAGGGAAAAAAATACAAAAGAACAAGTGACAGAAACAGGTGAAGAGACGTGACAGACACACAGAGAAGGGTTAGAGATTAACCAGCAGACATGACAGATAAGTCAACTTTATTCCTATAGCATCTTTCACAGACATCGTAAAGTGCTTCACAGGGATCAAAATAACTAAAAACAATAAAAACAGAGAACAAATAACCAAGAACAAAAAACTAACTGAAAACAAACTTAACTAAAATGTTTTTAAATGTTTAGTCAGTGGAATGTGTTCAGCGAAGGAGAGCATACACGTTTTTTAAGTTATTTGTGGATCTTAATACCCCAAAACATAAATAAATAAACAAAGCACGCATTAAAAGCAGTCATCTGATCCCTATTTTATAAAATGAGACAATAAAGGAATTATCTAACTATTTTGTTTCCACACACTAAAAGATAAATTATTTACATAACTAATATATAAAAGGTATATTATTTAGGAAATTACACAAAATCAGAGAAGTTTTTGGTTTTTTGTAACTGAACTCACATAAATGTACTTTTTTCTAAATAATTTGTTACATTGGGTTTGGTTGCTGGAGTTTGAAAAACATTACAAATGTTAAGAAGTATCACTCTCTGTTTCGCACTTTCCTTCACTCTGTCTCATTTTTTCTTGACGCTTGACTCTTCATGACTCATTTAGTTGCAGTCAAATTAACCCTCACAACACAAATACACTGGAAAACAACACGCCTGCTTTTCTCTCGTGCTCAGGATGAAAACACAAAAGAGCCACTATCTTTGTTTTCACAGTCTGTGTAATCCTCCAGAGAGTCCGCACGTTAACAGAAATTCACAAAGTAGTCGGTCTTCATCTGTTGCATCACTGTTCCCCTTCAAGGATACCTTGAAGCAGACAATTTACTGAGTTAATAAACTGCTGCTGTTGCAGCTTAAAAGATTGTTTTTTGTTAGAAAGAATAAAGGCCCTGTTTTAATGACCGTCTCTGAATCTGCTCAGCCTAACGGTGCTTTCAAGTGAATTTCAGTCATCTGCTCTGCCTGCAACTCTCACTGTGTTGTTAGTTAGCAGGTCTGTGGTGTTCCCTGTAGAGCTGGCAGAGAGCAAAAGCAGAGATAACAAAGACGGTAGCCAGAAACAAAATGCCAAACGAAAGCTCCACAACTGATGAGTGTGTAAATGACAAGGTATTTGAAAACATGATGTGTACTTTTTTCAACTTAAATTAAGACAGTAGTTCTCAAACTGTGGGACGGGACCCCCTGGGTGGGGGGCTTGGGACACAATGTTGCTCATTTGGTGTTATTTATTTATTCTTTATGTTATATTGAAATATTCTTTTGTTTTTAAATTGAACAACAAATTATTCGGGGAAAACCAAAAAGAATGCCTATATTTTTGCATTCTCTTTGACAAACTTGCTTGGGCTTGAATACTTGTTACCAGTTTGTTCTGAGGCCTGGGGAGGCTTGGGGGACTTGGGGGCCTGGACAATTTTTTTTTCTTTAAGTAGGGAGACTGACAGAAAAAGTTAGGGAACTGCTGAATTTGGGTCATTTCTTAGTAAATAAAACATGAAAACAGTTATTGCGATAGAGTTGTAATCAGAATAATCCTCATCTTTAAATTTAAACTAACAAAGAAAGAACGAAACAATATTAAGACAACTGCAGCATCAAGAGAACAGCATAAAGACAACATTACAACAATAACCCATCCTTTACAAACATTGTAAAAAAATACATACTATCAATTATGCAATTGGCATCTGCCACAAATTAAATATACAATAACTTAAAAAGGGACAAATCTCCTTTTTAGCCCTTAAATACATTATGTTGTGTACTTGGAGTCTCTCGGGTGTGCAGAAAAGTTGAATTTAGTCTCTCCTGGTGCTGCATAGATATCTTTATCTTCTGTTTCGGTCATATTTTTCAGTTCATTTAGCTTTATCTAGTCCCTGTTTTCCCTATTTTGAACAATAATGTCAGGATTTGCTGCGCAACTGCTAAACAAAGTCATGGGCTTATCAATTTTGTGAATCTGCGGTTCTGCAGGTTGCTCGTCTTGATTCTCCTCTGGCTCTGGGTCAGACTCTGGCTCCAACATGTAAGGCTGGATGGACAAATCTTCCGTTGTTGACATCTTTTATTCAGTTTGTAAATGAAAAGTTTCTAGATAATTGTATTTCTTTATCAAGCTACAAAAATGGCAGAACGGGGTGAAGTTGACAGTGATTATTGAGAGTGAGAGCTGGAGAGGGGTGGGGTGTGAAGAGCCTCATTTACATTTAAAGAGAAAGCATTAAATGAGTTGATCTGAGACACAGCTTAGAAAAGGGGTGAAAGAAGAGCTTGTGGAGCTACATTAAGGAGGAATTCTGACAAAAGCATTGCAGTTCCACTTTATATAGACCCCCAACTGAACCATTTAAAAGAAAAAAACACATTTAAAATTATGATTATGTCCTCTTTAAGAACAACTGTACACAATTGGATTCCAGTAGAAAACAAACCAAGAACCAAAAAATTGTCACATCAGCTTTCTGTGTTGACTGTTAGCAGTGAATTTGGCCTTTTAGAAACAACAAAAGGTTAGAAAGTTCAAGGACTCTTCAGAAGTTCCGTATTTATGTGTCTGAATGACTAATTGATCCAGAACCACAAACAGGGACATGCTTGACTGAGGATGACTTTGTCTGRGTCAGCTGTGTGTGTCCGTCCGAGCAACTCAGGCGATGATGCTGAATGAGCAAATGCACTGATGACATCTCTCCATCTCTGCCTCGCTGTGTCCCCTGTCAGACAGGCACTGAGGTATCTGCCATCACCGAGATAAGGTGGAATGTGGAACGACAGAAATTTCAAACCTACATAACAAACAATGAAATTCTAATTACCAGCCAGTGCAAACAATTTTCCCTGCTGTGACATTTGGACTGTGGGACTGTTCAATTATTCATTGGCACTCTCGCCTCGCTGGGAGAAATAAAAAAAAYGYAAYYAAAYYAAAAAATTAAAAGAAAGAAGGAGAAGGCAACTGAGGGGGGCTGATAGATTTATGCTGGTTTAAAACCTGTGTTGGGACAAATCTGAATGAAGTAATCATCTATTCATGCTCGGACCTGTTTCATATTCAGCCAGGAAATAAAACGACGGTGACCTTGTATTTCGCTGCCTGTGAAATGTCAGAGGTAGGCTGACACCTCGGAGAGTTTAGCAATGAATTGGTCTCTCTCAGTGTATAAATACATTTTACACATCACAAGAAGAAGATGTTCTTTAGCAGAGGCGTAACTGAGGATCTCCTTGAAATGAAAGTCTCATTTTAGTCCTAAGCTGAACAAATGTTATTTCAATCAACTGCGGCTCAGTGTGAGCATGACTTGGAATTCTTCTTACTGTTTAAGGAAGGCAGAGAGACCCACGCAACARAGTTTTAGTAACATTTCACCTTCTTTTCCTCATCTTTCAGTAGCGATGGTTGGCTGAAGATTTTTTTTTGTCTTTGCTCTTATCTTTATTGGTGATCCATAAAAGAAAATCTCAGGAAAAACAAAGCCTTGAAATGTTTTAAAGAAAACCCCGACRAGTTGTAACATTATTTGATAAACATTTACTTCAACTATTAAAAAAGACTTAAAAATACGGTAGGCTGTTTAGTTTAAAAAATATATAAAAATGCATTGGCTGTGTCCAAATTCAGGGGCTGTATCCTTCAAAGGCTGAATTTGAAGGTCGAATACATCACAACAATGAGCCGAAAGCTGTCCAAATTTGAAGGCTCCTCTAATTGTAGCCTACAAATGCATCCCCATTTTCACCTAGATTTGAGGGGCGAGTCTGGTGTACCATCCACAGTCCACCCTATCCCAAGACAATTTGTGGGCCGACTGGGAGACTTTTTTTTGGTGTGTGTGTGTGTAATGGCAGAAGTAGCGAGAGACAGGAGTAAAGTTTTTTTTTAATCTGGCGGTATAAAAATTGAAAGTTTCAAGCAGTCGTMTTGTTAGACTTTAGTCATTTACATAAACATGTTTTTTAATATTATTCTTGTCAGAAATCATCGTAAACGAGCTTGTATGGCGAGTCCCTTAATTCTTCATGTATTGCCTCTAAGCTCATTTTATTAATTTATAATATTAATAATATCAATAAATAGATATATTCCTAATTTCAATTTATTTTCCATCTTCATTGCTTCTGTTTACCACCATCATGACTGCTAGACAACAGGACATACAATGGGGTAAGGGCGAGAATAACGCTGAAGGCTAGACCGTCCAAATTCACAGCCACTTTTTTCTGGTCTTCACGGTTGACAAAGGACCTGGCCCACGTAGACKGGGTAGGCGAGATCCTTCGAAGGATGCAGCCCTTGAATTTGGACATGGCCATCCTCACAGACGACACCATATTATTGGAGGAGGAGCTATGTACAAGTAGGCAGTYCTTTGTATCAMCAAYCATGTAGGCAGCTCCACATGTCCACCACAGGAGATTCAAGGATGCCTCAAACATGCATGAATGAGTCAAAACAACACTCTGGGTGTGTTTTTGATGAGGGAATGACATTATGACATCAAAAAAGTTGATTTTGCATAATAATACCCTCCCCCCCCCTTAATCTTGCATGACATCTGATGATCAGACCTTTTGAATGAAACCTGAGCTCGTTGACAGAGAGGAAAATGTATGTGTATG